TGAGGTTGCTGTGAGCTGTGATGCCACGGCACTCTACTGAGGGTAACCTAGTGAGATTCTGTCTCAAAAGACAAAAAACAAAACCATTAAACCTTTTGATGCTTTTCCTACAGTATTTTGTCTTTGGAGTTAGAAGTCCTTAGATTCTACAAGGTTTAGACAAGTAAAATCTAAGGTTCTGAGATATGAAAAACTCCTACAGATTTTTCTTACCTCCGTCTGTACCATGGCTGGCCGTTGTGTTCTTAACATTTTGACGGTCTGGAAGATATCTACAACTCCTTCATATCTCATTCTTTCCAAAACAATGCTTAGTGTTATGAAGACTCCAGTTCTCCCAACGCCCGCACTGCCACAACAACAAAGGCAACATTATTGCATGACATGCTCATGGCCTTGGCCACATTTGCTTGCAGGTGGACATAGCTCCACCAGCTTCTGTCTTCCACGTTTCTCTACAACCACGTTGAGAGAAATGTGGCACTGAGTTCATTATGATCACTCTTGGGAAAGTGAGTTGGCTAGCATGCGAGAATGAACGTGGAGTGATCAGGATTGAACTCTATAAAATATTTTCAACTAGGGCTATAACACCATTTTAGAAAGACCAAGAAAACATAAATATTATTCAATAAATGAAAAAAAGAAAGCACAAATAAAACATAGGTTTGTACTATGATGGAGGTCTTGATTTAGATACTGCCTGCTTAATATTTTTAAAATACAAAATAATTCAGAATAAGGTTCAGAAATTAATTCAGAAATTAATTCAGCATCTTCAACTTCTCTAGCACACTATTCACTTTTTGTAGTCACTTAAAACCCATGCAGGATGTCTCATCACCTAGACATACAAGTATATAATGAGCTATGAAAATGGTTCAATTATTGCTATTGGTTTTGATCCGAGATTCTATGACCAGATTTTTTGATAGGGCATTTTCACATAGTCTTCAGGAGGATTTATGATTATCCTATAAGTATATGTACAGACTGTATACATGCCATACTTTTTCCTACTTCCTAAAAATTTACAATTTTCAACTGATTCTCAAAGGGGTCTCTAATCTAAAAACAAAAATGTTTAAGAGCCACTGATTTATGAACTCATTTACTACTTTTAGATAATCAACAACTCAAAATCCAGGATTCTGTTCACTATATTAGCCAGGTTTTGAGATTCTCTCTGTTAACTCTTTTAAGATAATTCCAGAATCTTCACAGCAGCAAGCGAGAAAATTAATTCACAGCTCTTGTGCTATTATAAACTAGGAAAGCATCTGGAGGTTGAGGTAATGAGGAAAACAGTAAATAATCTGAAAAAATCCCTACATTTTGGGATCCTAATTAAATGGCATGTGTAACACTTGGGCACGGACTATAGAAAATGGATGGATTCATTTATTTGGAGATGTAGCTGACAGGCATAAGTAATGTGGCCCTCCATGAATGGGGATTTCAAAAGAGTCTTAAAAGAAATGCTAAGTGAGGGTCTAAAAGCCATGGGCAGTCTTTTAAAAAATGACTGTGATGTCCAGCAGCAGTCAAGGCTTTTGTTAAGATGGAACAGACGACCTTGAAGGTCCCATTCAACGTTGAATATCTCTCTTAGTCACGAGAAACTATGATTTATGATCTGTTTGTTGAACCTATCAAACCTTAATTTGATTGCTTAAATGTAACAAAAATATTGTGTTTCTGGATTTCTACTAAATATTTTCCAGAAACAGACATGAGCTTTATAACCTCCAAATTTATTAACTTTATCAGTTAAATACGTTAGAAATAAATGGTATTTTCAGAACATTCCCAGAGAAAATATTTGGAAGTTTGGAAAATACACATGTGATAATAATATCCCACAGCATTTCAATTAAAGGGGTGTTTAAATCATTTTGTGATGATAAAAACAGTGAAAAGTAAGTCATACACACACGCACGAACACACTTCTATACCTATGAAAATGCTTAATGCTAAGAATCTGTATTAAACTAATATTCTTTATATTTTATATTATATTAATTTAAATTACCCTTTAGGCACATTGTGTGTAAATTTAAAAGAAATATTCAGGTAATTCAAGCCCAGCATATACCATCCACTTTGTATGAATATAGCCATACCTCATTTTATTGTGCTTTGCTTTATTATGCTTCACAGATTTAGCATTTTTTTTCTTTTACAAATTAAAGATTTGTGACAACACTACCTTAAGCAAGTCTATCGGTACCAATTTTCTAGCATCATGTGCTCACTCTGTGTGTCTGTCTGCCACATTCTGATAATTCTCACAATATTTCAATTTTTTTCATTACTATTGTATCTCTTCCGGTCTATGGTCAATGATCGATGATATTACTGTTGTAATTGTTTTGACCATGCCAATATAAAATGGCAAACTTAGTCAATGAAGGCATTCTGAAAGTCAAGATAGATGGAAAGCAAGGCTTCTCGTACTGAAGAGTTAGCAACATTATGAATGCAAAAGGAAAGTTCTTGAAGAAAATTAAAAGTGTTAGTCCAGCGAACACATGGAAGATAAAGTAAAACAGGCTTATTGCTGATATGAGGACAGTTTTAGTGGTCGGGATAGAAAATCAAACCAACCATAACTTTCTCTCGAGTTAAGGCCTACGGTAGAGCAAGGCCCTAACTCTTTTCACTTCTACTGGAGGTAGAGAGTGATGAGAAAGTTAAAGAAGAAAAGTCTGAAGCTATCAGAGCTTGGTTCATACAGTTTAAAGGAGTCATCTCCATAACGAAAGTACAAAGTGAAGCAGAGAACTTCTACCAAGTTATCCAGAACATCTAGCCTAGATAACTGATGAAGGTGTCTACACCAAACAATTTTCAATGTAGATGAAATAGCCTTATCTTGGAAAAAGCTGCTATCTAGGACTTTCATAGCTAGAGAGGAAAATTCAATGTTTGGCTTCAAAGATTTGTAGGACAGGCTGACTGTCTTGTTAGTGAGCTGTTGATTTTAAATTGAAGGCAGAGCAAATTTACCATTCTGAACATCCTTAGGTCCTTAAGAAATATATAAATCTCCCCTACTTGTACTCTGTAAATGGGCAACAAAGCCTAGGGGATAGCACATCTGTTTACAGCATGGCTTACTGAATATTTTAAGTCTACTGTGGAGAACTACTCAGAAAAAGTGTACCCAGTCACCTAGGAGCTCTGATAGAAATATGTAAAAGCATCAGTGTTGTTTTCATGCCTGCTGACAAACATCAATTTTATAGCCCATGAAACAGGAAGTGATTTGGACCTTTAAGTCTTACTGTTATATTTAAGAAATACATTTCATAAGGTGATAGTTACCATAGACAGTGATTTCTCTGATGGATCTGAGCAAAGTAAATTGAAAACTTTCTGGAAAGGATTCACTATTCTAGATGCCATTGAGAACATTCCTGATTTGGGGGGGGGGGGTGTCAGTTGTAGGAGTTTTGAAGAAGTTGGTTCCAACCTCCATGGATTATTTTAAGGGATTTAAGACTTCAGTGGAGGAATAACTGCAGATGTGGTGGAAATTGTGAGAGTACGAGAATTAGAAGTGGAGCTTGAAAATGTTACTGACTTGCTTCACTTTCCTGATAGAACATGAATAGAAGAGGAGTTGCTTTTTGTGTAGGCAAAAAATACGGTTTCATGACATGAAATCTATTCCTGCTCCTGAAGATGCTGTGAACATTGTGGAAATAACAACAAAGGATTTAGAATAGTACATAAACGTAGTTAATTAAGCAGCAGCGGAGTTTGTGAGGACTGACTCCAATTGTGAAAGACATTCTACTGTGGGTAAAATGGTGTTGAACAACATTGCACGCCACAGAGAAATCTCTTGTGAAAGGAAAGAGTCAAATGATGTAGCAAACTTCACTGTTGTCTTAGTTTAAGAAACTGTCACAGCCACCTCAACCTTTAGCAACTGCTGTCTTAATAGTTAGTGGCCATCAACCTCAAGGGAAGACCCTCCATCAACCAGAAGATTGCAGTTTCCTAAAAGATCAGGAGATTGTTAGCTTTTTTTTTAGCAATGAAGTATTTTTGAATTGAGGTATATACATTGTTCTTTTAAACATATCGCCATTGCCAACTTAAAAGACTCCAGTATAAACAAAAATTTTATATGAATTGGGAAACAAAGACTGTAGCACTCTCTGTTGTGATGTTAATTTTATTGTGGTGGTCTGCAATATTCCTGGATTCCTGGATTTGACTCGTATGCCATTTTCTACATGCTCTTCAGTTGGATACTACAAAGGATTTTATAACTCAATACAAAGCAAACATGTAATTAAGGTCTGTTTCTCCTACAATATACCATGTCTGAGAAACAAACAATGCTAGAAAGAATTTTTTCTTTTCTTTTCTTTTTTTTTTTTTTGAGCCAGAGCCTCGAGCTGTTGCCCTGGGAGGAGTTCGATGGCATCACAGCTCACAGCAACCTCCAACTCCTGGGCTCAAGCGAGTCTTCAGCCTCCGCCTCCCAAGTAGCTGGGACCACAGGCGCCCACCACAACGCCCAGCTATTTTTTGGTTGCAGCCATCATTGTTGTTTGGTGGCCCGGGCTGGATTTGAACCCGCCAGCTCAGGTGTATGTGGCTGGTGCCTTAGCCGCTTGAGCCACAGGCGCCGAGCCAAGAATTGTAGATATCTGAGAAAACTGAGGTCCAGAGATCCTGCCTCCTATTTCATTAAGAACTACAATGGCTATTTTTGAAGCACTGAAGCAAAATACATTTTTTAAAAAAACTTCTCTTAAGATTTTCATCATAAAGAGATTAGAAACTTAGACTTCTGTTGCTAGAATCCTAAAATACCTTAATTTAAATAAAATTAAGTGAATTCTTTTTGTTGCTAGAAAGTTTTTGCATAGCAACTTCCAGAAGTACTAAATTTATGGTGACTGTTTAAACCATTTACTTGCTATTTCTATTAACTTCAATGACTTGAATTATAAAATGCTCCAGAAACTACTGAAAATAATTAAATTGAAGGTCCTTCAATTTCTGATAGGGCAACAATTTTCAGGCAAATTGCACTTTTCACTGAGGTACCATTCTAATCACTTACTGACTGGCAAAAATTAGTACTGTTATTAAGTGCTAATAGCTATTTATGGTTCCCCCAAGAAGACAAATACAAAAGAAAGATCCAGAAAGATAGCTACTGGTGCAGCACAATGAGAGCAGAGCAAGGAAGGAGTGATTGATAGAATGGATTATAACTATGGGATGTACCGACAGTTCCTATTAAGGTAAAACTGGCAAGGAAAACTACAGGTTTTTTTTTTTTTTTTCACACAAAGTAAATTTTGGGGATAAAAATTTTCCTCTGATTCTTTTCATGTTATGAAATGGAAGGGAAATGAATCCTGCTTTAAATTTCACAAGACATTTCTGAGAATAAAATTTCAATTCTGTAGATTCACTATAACAAGCTTGTATAGACAGTGAATAAACAACATTTATTTTCAGGGTTATCATTGCCTTAAATCACAAATGGAAACGGAGCGTTCTTGCTTCTTTACTTACCTGCAATGGACCGAAATGGGTCCATCTTGGCCAAACTGTTCTTTCGTTTTATGGACTTGGCCGATGAAGTCGATAAATCCTTCTCCAGACTTTGGCACTCCTTGCTCTGGCCAATCGGTGAACTGGAATTGCCTCACTGTTCGGGACTGGCCGTCCTTTAGAGGGAAAGCCACATACCCAGCCACAGAAAAGGGTGCCAGGAAGATTCAGTAAGTACCAAGACCACAAGACCAATGATCATTCTTTTTTTTTAAAAAATAAAAGTACAGAGAAATAAACATGTTTAAGTAGAAACTCTGGTGTATGTCTTATCTGCTATTAGCATCTATATTCACGTATATTTAAATCACAAATTTATTTGCTCTTAAACAAAAACCTAGGTTCTCAGACAGTAAACAGCCATATAGGTCTCATATTAGCAAATGCGTCTGAATCCCAAAGTTTGGGTTTATTACCATTGACCATGTCCGCATTCTTTCCAAAGTGAAACGTATAAATTCTATTACAACTATTTTGGAATCCAATAACTTTTCAGTATTGAAAGGAGATTCCAGGCATGTCATTCAGACCAGAGATTTTACTGTTGTCACGATAACTTCACATCGCTGTGCTTGCTTAGTTCTAGCATTGCCAATTGACAAATAGTGACATTTAAAGGATCTGACACAAACTGGGTAGTTGCTGTTAACCTGGATGCCCCGGATGTCTCAGAGAAATACAGTTTCTAGCCCTGGCAGGGGACAAAGCGTGTACCATGCGAGTATCCTGTCAAACCGAAGTGAAGTATCCCGCAAGGACACAAGAGATTATCAACAATAGGTACCCTTTTCTGAAACAGAACTCTTCTTAGCTGACTACCAAACTAAAGAGGCTGTAAGGGGATTTAACACAGATAAACCAAAGGAGGAAAGGAAGGGAGGGAGGGAGGAAGGGAAGGAGAAAACAAACAAAAAACAAGCCAGATGCAAGAGGGTCTTTCTTTTCTAGAGTAAGGCAAAATTACTCTGCGTTATAATGCAGAAATGGGTTAAAAAGAACATACTAAGTCACTTCGGATTCCCTCTAGGCTTTAAGGTGTTTTTTAACAAGCAAGACAAGAATAGAAACAATTCTTTGTTTACAGAACCAGGAATAACAATTATACCCATCCACCTTCTCCCTGACTCAATAATGGAGAGAGATAATCCACATTCTAAGTTTAGAGGGCCTACTCCCAAATAGCCTCTTCTCTTTGAAGAGACTTCCACTTGTTACTCTGTTTCTCTTTTTATTTCTGTTCACATCTCTATCCCCATCACAGGTGTACATGCTCCCCATATTCTGGGTAAGTGGATAGAGATATAATCTTGCTCATTCATTCAGAATGAGATAGGGGAGCAGCTCAATTCAAGATGGGCAGATCAACTAGCCCAATGGTCTGATGGTTGTAACTGGCACAGGGTAGGTTTCTGACTATTTGGGGATGGAGGTCAAAAAGGGTGATTCTTCCAATTTTGTGAGAATAACTAACCTGTGTATGGTTACCATGGAAGCATCATTTACTTCCCTCTGTTTCTGGAAAAAATTAGGAAGCACAGTAAGCCAAGCCAGAGGCCAGGTAATGCAGATTTATTCTCCTTTGAGTATCTTGGGGATTTCCTTTCTTACCCCAGTTGCTTTTAATGGTGCACAAACCCTTACTATTTGAAGGAGAGACCACCTGAGTTCATGTAAAGGTTACCTGTTTAATAATACCCTGCTCTCAAGTGCCAGTTTGCTTTCTAAACTGGGAAGTTGAGATTAGAATCACACTAGGAGTGCAAATAGTCTGTGCTATGGTAGCTAAGAAAATTACACAATCATAGGGAGACTTTTTATTTTTAAATGTGTGGTGGGCTAAGTTCCATGTTCAATCTTTTGCTTTTGTGATGAGATTAAATAGGTCATGTGGGGAGTGGTAAGAACATCCCTGCCATTGGTTGAGCTTAGTTCCCAGCCTTTATCATCAGGAATAGTTGGCGAGTTTACCTGAAATGCACTTAAGATTTCCAGCCATATACTTAGCTTTAAATTCTGAAAAGGTCTGATTTTTTTTATTTTTAAAACAATGAGGCAGGTTACTAAGGCAGGTTCGCCTGGGCAACTCAAAATCAAGACCTAGGGATGTAACTGCTGCCTTGACTACAGGCACTTTCAGAATAGTTAATACATTAGACTTCTAGGATTAACAGGTCCTTTACCTGGGCCAACCCTCCTGCTAACCAATTTTTCTTTCACTTAAGGTCAATAGCTAGGGCCAGACTTTGGGGATTAGTACAACAATTTCCAAACATAAGTTTGGAAAAAGCGGCTTCCCAGAAAAAAACAATGAATCAAGTAAATAGCTCCATCCTGATGTTTTATTCAACCCACCCACTGTGACAGTTCCAAAAAAAACATAGGTCTCTGAACTGACCCAGTCTCCCCTAAGATGTGTTTGTAATCATGGTTTGAAAGTGGCCAAAGGCAAATATATTAAAGTTTATGCATAGAACATCTTACATCAGGGCTGAACTTTGGACTTGGCAATCTAGATAAGAAATGCAAAATGAAAATTAGCCAACAAGGGTCGTGGGTGCACAGCTCTCGTGGACAGACACATTAGCACACCAAGGAATAAACTCTGCCAGGAATCAAATTAGAATGTGCAAAGCTTGTCAGATTTTTCTAAAGAATGCCATTTGCTCTGCAGTTTTAAAATCATACCAAATTAACCTCCAGGCCCACATGACCTAAAGGGCTTTCCAAACAACAACATATTTACAGCCTCGAGTAATGAAGAAGTCAAAAAAAGCTCCAAAGAGAACGAGCTGAGAAGGTGAACATGAGCACAGACGAGTCAGTAAACGCTTCCCAGTACAAACACTCACCAAATGCATCCCCAAAGTTGGGCTGCCAGATGTTATGTTTGAATAGAAGCCAAACTTGGGTTTGTGAGAATGCTTGCCAGACAGAGGGAAAGTTACTTGGGGATGGGTGACTTCTTTTCGTTGTGGGAGCGCGGTCACTTGGCAAATGGTCTGTCTTCCCAGAGACGTGTATTTTAGACTACTTTTTAGCTAATCTCTGAGGGTTGACAACTGTGCCAACTTACCCTGGCATCTGTGACTTTGAATTCCCTCAGGATATACTGTGGCATGTTGTACTCAGCCATGGGATCTACAACAAAATACTGATATCTTGCGGATCGTTCTGCTGGCCAGTACTGATGACACTTCTCCTAAAAGGAGAGAAGGTGAGTGTTAAAAACTACACAAAGTAGAAATGAAGTTTTGTCTATCTGTGTAATAAAATTTTAAACTTCAAGGCAATTCCAGGTGCAGGTGACTCATTTTCTCTTTGGAACCAAGAGCTCCCTGAAGATAGGGAAACCATCTGGTTCGCTATTTGCCCATGGTATCCAGCACAGTACCTGGCACATAGAAGCTGCTGAATGCACATCAGTTGAATGGAATATTTTGATAGGGTAAAGTATCTTCACACCTACAAGTTATCCCAGTAATTACATCAGTCATTGGATAATGCTGGCCATGTCAACCATGCATTGACCTGGCACACTGATACCACTGTGGTTCGGAATGAAGAGACCCATCATGAACACAGAAAGAAAACTCTGCAATGATTTGTTTCCATCTCGTCAAAGAAACGAGGATCCAGGCAGTTTTAATGAGTTGGCAAAACTCTACAAAGTCAGCAGCCAAATCAGAATAATCAGTTATCTTTCTAATCTGATATTCTTTTTGCTTCCTCTGTGGGCTCTAAAAGTTGGGGTTTTAGCTATTCTAATTCACACAAAGAAGGGAGAAAATATCTCAAGCGAATATGACAAAATGCTTGCATCTACTGAATCTAAGTGGTATCACTAATACTATTAAGTAATAACAGTAGAATAGTATTAATAGCAATAATAGTAGACACCTTAGTAGATATCTAATACTATTTTATGGGTATTTCAGAATCATTATTTTGAAAAGTGGATCTGGGATTACCAGGTTTTATCCTTGGAAAAAGTATAACTTTCTTATACTCTGTTCAATAGGAATGGAAGGTAGGGAAGTAAGAATTTGCCACAGAAATAAATGAAAGTCAAGTTCCTTTATACAAAGAAATGATAGCACATTTGCTCATGAAACTTGAGCCTGCTCAGAGAGGCCGACATAAGTCAGAGACAGCTGTGTACTGATTTGCCCCTATGATTGGGCTTCACTGCAAATGAAGCACCAGATCTTTCTTAAAAACACACATTTAAAAACGTGATGTGGCTTTGTAAATTAGAAACCAACAAGGAGTAACAGATGGTGCAGACAGTGTTCTGAATATTCTGTATTTTGAAAAAATGACACTGGCACTTGAGTTATTAAGATGGAAACTTCATTTCTCCACAGTGTCAGTGTGCCTTAGGAGACACAGGAGGGTGACATGCTTACTCTGCCCATCTCACGCAGTTTGGTGAGCATCACAACGATGGTGGAATTGTGTTCCCACAGCATCCGCCAGAAGTCCTCGGTGGTCTCCGCCAAGGGCCCCTGGGTAGCGATGTAGGCTTTCTGTTGTCTGAATTATGGGGAATGAAAAGAATGTGTTAAAGTACTTAGAAACTATGCAAAAGCTCACGTTTGAGATGTAAACATCAAACCTGGTAACAGAAAATGAAACCATATCATTGATACAATTGCAGTAAATCCCCATTTCATCTATGTAATCAACTAAGAGCGCTTAGTACATTTAGGGGACTTTATAAAAGAAACTGCTTTGTTAATATTATGATGTATGTCTTTATCATTATTATTTAAATTTTAGTGCAATGCTAATAGCTCAATTTCACGTGTCACACAAATCACTTAAGAAACACTTAGTTGTGCAGCTTCATTTTCTAGAAATGACTCTTACACAATCAATTACATTTATGGAATATCATGCAAAACAGATTCTTTATTAACTCCTTACAAATTCAAGTGGCTTCTGAAAGAAGAGTGCAGAAGCCCAGATTAGATAGATGCTCCCTAACTACTGCCTCTTAATCCTCTCCAAAACAACAAAAACAGACACCAAGGGACTAAATGCTGACCTCTGCAGAAAGAAAATGGCTTTGAATTGAGATGAAATTTATTCTGGTTATGCAAGTGGGGCACATGTAAATATCAAGGCTTTGGATCCTCAGGGGAGCAAGAATCTATACCTGTATCCATCAATAAAACTGGCATTGATGTAATCAGATCCTTCTACTCCTCGGATAGGCTGCAGGCACACCCTTGTGGATTCATATGGCATAATATTAACAAGGCGATTTTTGAATTTATTACATGGAAGATTGGCACTGATGAATCTTGAGGTGTGAGCTTTTGAGCTGGCTAGACGCTGTTCAATAGAAAAGAAGAAAAATCCAACAAAGATAATCTTAGCCTATGGTTTGAATGCAATGTCCTCAAGACTTCTCTTTTGGGATATAAATATTTTGTTTACTTTAAAGTAAATGACTATTCAAACTGCATGGCAGGTCTACCTAATCACTCCATTGAATTTTTAAGTATTTTCTGAGAGTAGGATCTCTCAATTCGAATAAGAATACAAAAGGCTCATGGTGTTAGAGTGGCGGTGGAGGAGAGGTTTTTATAATCAGACACCTGAGGAAAAGGTCAAATGAATCTTGTACTTCACAAACTTGAAAGGTTAAGGAAGTAAAGGCCTTCCTCAAAGACAATCCCAGAGTGACTTGCTTCTGAATAACCGTATCACACCCGATAGCCATACCTTAAACTCGAGCTCCATTCCTGTGACATTCTCTCCTGTTTCTATTTGTGTCAGCTTCTGAATGTAGGCATACAAGTTCCTGGCTGGCACTTCGGTATTTCCACAAGTCACTGCTTCTAACAGTGCATCATGGATGAAGATATATTGGTCTTCTGTTTGAACCATGTAATTCCTCTGGGCTCTCATTAAAGTTACATGGCCATAAATATCTACAGTTTTTTCATGCTTTATTCTTTCTAACATAGCATCTATTACGATGAAACAACCAGTTCGGCCAACTCCCGCACTGTAAGGGAAGTAAAGAGAAAAGAAAAATCCCAATAAACCTTTCCAGAAATCTCCAGAAAGCAACACACAATAAAAGTATTTTTTTTAATGAACTAGATATTTCACTCATTAATTCTCCTCAAATAGTCTATTGCAATGATTTTAGAACACTTTAAAGTCAAGAGTATTATCTGGTACCATAACCAGGGAACAAATACTGACAAACAAAAATTAGTTGGCTTTCAAAATGTAAAACACATTAAATCCATAATCACTATGTTCCTCAATCACGCAGTACAAAGTAGACTTTGGCTTGAAACCATTTTCGGAAAACTACAACCATTTGGACTGTATAGAAGACATTTTTTTAATAAATGGTAAAGATCAAACTAAGCTATATTTTTAAATAAAACCTCTCAGTCTATTTAAGTTCAACATACAAAAAATAAAGATTGTTCTTACAACCGCAAGGTAAGCCTGGCATGCTTGCTATTTATCAAACCTTTCAGACTAGGTACCTTTACGGGTCAAGCAGGGGTCCTTAAACTGTGGCCTGCTGAGGAAATTTATCTGGCCCACTGGGTGTTTTTGCCACTGCTGCCTGTCCTGCTTATCAGCCGACTCATCCCGGGGCCCGCAGTCCAGCCCTCTAATGGTCTGAGGGACAGTGAACTGGCCCCCTGTTTAAAAAAAGTTTGAGGACCCCTGGGTGGGATTCAATCCAAAATGTTTTCTTTCTCGTGCTTGTGCATGTTTGTTGGCCTGGTAAACATGTGATCATTGGGAATAGGTATTTATCAGACACCAAGCAACAGACAGCTTCCTTCATGGGCTATACGCTGTCTGCGTACCAATGTGTTTACCTGCCCATCCATCCATTGACCTGTCCATCTCTTCATTTAATGAACAGTGATGGACTCAGCTAGGTGAAACAGGTGATAGAATAATAAAGATGACTCAGGTCCTCCCTTTAAAGAGCTCTAAGGCTATCAAGGGACAGAACAGTGTACTTCACTATTTGTAATACAAGGAGAAAGGAATCTTTTGCTTATGTGGATGAGGTGCCATTTGACCTGGGACTTGGAGGACAGGAAGGATGGGCAGTTAAGGATGCTGGAATGATGAAACAGCAGGAACAGCTTTGGTAACCATACTGCCTGCTCTGGGAGCTACATGTGGAATTTTTCATAGGTCTGGTAAGGTAGCTGGGCAAGCAATATACCAGAACTCACAAATGGAGTGAGTTAACATATACCAGGATTAACATATGCCAGGATTCAAGTGAAATGATGCGATTTCTGTCAGGTACCAAATGGCTGCAAGGTGGTAAGGGAGCATTTTTTTAAAATAAATAATACTTTAATTACTGAACAGTGTTTATCAAATCCAGCTTTCATATAAAAGCCTGGTGGTTTGTGGACTAGAAGAAGTGAGATTTTGATATAATGACTTTTTAAAAGTGCTTACTTTTATATATCCTATTCCAGGAGACCCCCGTATACTGATTCTCAGACTCCATTCAAAGTTTAAACCCCCAAATTGACATACATTCAGATACCATGAAAAAGCCGTTTGCAGTATAGTCTTAAAAACGACAGCACCTACCTTAGCACAGAACCAACTGGAAACCTGATGCCAGCATTAGTACAGAGCTCTGTTAGGCTGTTGGTTTAAATGTACCGAGATCCATTTTATTTAGTTAGTTCTACTAAATAAACCAACTAAATGGCAAGTTTTCCTTTCCATTTATCATCTCCAGATGAGATCAAGCATCTTCTGCCCCTGATCCCCTGGTGCTCTAATACCCCTCTCCACTACCATTCTAGTCAAACCAAGTTATTAATTTAGGGCAGCTGTCCATAAAGAATCGTGGACACCTGGCGAGCGGGAACTGCATCATTTTTGTTGTCTTTGTGTGTCCTGCACCAAGTATGCAGTAAGTGATCAATGGTGTTTGGGGAAGAAGTGAATGAATTAGTGGTGGGCCTTAGGAAATGTGCAGTTCATCCAGGTAAGATAAGCCCACTTGGGAAGCAGAACGACTGGTAAAAGAAGTCCTGTGATTGGCAAGGGGTTGGAACTGTGCAGGGAGTATCTGAAGATTGCTCTGTGTGGTGTCTGACAGGGAACAGGGAGGTAGGAAAACACTTTCGGTCCTCTTTGTGCCTTAGTCACCAGATAGGCCACCGGATTGTAGCTAAAAGAATCTAAGTGGGAGTCCACTAGGAAAAGATTTGTCTCTCTGGGCTTCTTCCAAACCCCACGTTTGGCGGGTTCTCAGACTATGAATAACATCTTTCATTCTTTCTGTGTTGCACTTCTAAATCATCTTCATCTTGTTTGTGCATCGCTGCTAACTGGACACAGCTTCGTGCAATTCTTCCTAGTGGAGACCGTGCTGTAAACCTCAGTACTGAGCCCTATGTATCAAGTCAACTAGAAGACTGCAGGAATATTTTCTCAAAATATGCATTAGGGACCATTCAAATGTCTGGATGATGCATTGTTTCAGATTCTGGGAAAAAGATACCACTGGGTCTTGCACAATTGGTAGGAATGATTCCAACTCAAAACAGTATTAACCCCTTTGTGATGGCAATGAGACATTTTTCCCAAAAAGCAAAGGAGGAAAAAATTCAAATGTATCCCTGGGTCTGATTCCTGAACTATGGATGGAAAGAAACAAAAGAGCAGCCATGACTTGAAAAGAACTTGTTTCCCCGCTCCCCCTAATACTGTTACTTGCCCAATCTTGCCATTCAGGGGGAATCCAGAGAAGCAGCTGACTGACCCTTGTTTCCCCTTCTCCAGAGTGAAAACTTCCTGGGGGCTTTAAATATTGGACACGTGTTTTAACCCAAAGCAGGATCACAAGGTTCAAGGTATTTTTTCAGATACAAATGGCTGTGAGTCCTTGAGAAAGTCACCTAACCTCTTTTCTATTTTCCTGTTTTATTCTTAAATTATAATAGTGGTAATTAACTCTAGCTAATTATCTTGTAGGTCTAATTGTCTAGTAAATCTTAAGGCTGAATTAAACCCACCAAGTGTTCTGAGAACATAACACAAGAGGCAGTTACTCTGCAGGTACATATTCCATTTTTAAATTCTACCTCTAAAGCTGACAACAGGGAACAGGCAATGGAATGTGAGGGGAAATCGTGACAGAACCACCGCAGGATCCCTGGAGAGCTGGCTTTTCCAATCTTGCTTTGATCTACCCTTTGGTGCTGGTTTTCCTTTTCTCCTCTGGTTTCCAATATATACTCCTTACATCCGAGAGGAACGTTCTGGCCAGGGCAGATGAGATGGCAGTCAAAGCCCCTGTGCTTGGTGGCCGGGATGCATTCAATAAATGCCAGTCTCCTTTCCTTTGCTCTCATTCATAACATTTGGGAGCCTCCCTGAAGTCATGCAGCTCATGGCAGGAGGCAGAGCAGGGATTCATTCAAATGCAGGATCTGAGACAGGAAACTTCAGCACCCCATTCTTGGCACTCCCATTGCTTCATGCTCTATCTACCAGTTAGGTCAGTAATAATTTCCAAATACGGTGATTGTCTTACAGCCCACTGTCCTATAACATGCCTTTAGCAGCATCTGACTGTCCCCCATGCAGGTTCCTTGGAAAGCCTTTCCTCCTTGGTTTCTATGACACTAGTTGAAGGGACTGGGGAGATACCAGACACCCCCTTGGGGTTAATGGGAGGAAGGAAGGACGTTTTGCTATTATTCCAAACACAAAATCACCTAAAACATGTAGTACATGAAATCAGCCAAAAAGAATTGCATCACAGTCTTATGTTTGTAACAGAGTAGATTTTCTATCAAGTCATAAACAAAATTAAAGATAAACTCTAAATGCCATCTTTAAAAATCTACCAACAAGCACCTCTTCAGATTGTGCCTCAGTATATTAAAAATAAATTTTTTCCCCCCGAGTCTCACTCTGTCACCTTGGGTAGAGTGCCATGGAGCCATCATAGTGCCCAGCACCCTTAAACACTTGGGCTCAGTGAGCCCCCTGCATCAACCCCTGGTGTAGCAATTTTTTTTTTTTTTAATTTGACTCCTGTGCTCATGACCCACTGTCTCTCCGGAGTGTTATGTCTGACCTTTTCCCCAGATTTATATACCTGTGCCTGTCTCCCACCCACCACATACGGAAAATAACCCCCAAATTCTGCCCCTGTTTCTCTCATTCCTTCTCATGGCCCAGTAATAAACGCCAAAAGATTCCTAAAGTGATGGCCCTTTCAGGACAAGTACAGGCCTGTAACTCAAATCACCTCAATAATCTCAAAAGTGAACAGACGCCAAGCTTCCCCAGCGTCTTCCTTCAGATCTGCTCCTCCCACTCTCACTCTCTCCTTCCTACTAATGTAGAAATATCACCTTGGCCTGTTTCTGTCTCTTGCCCTGCACAATAATAAATTCTATGTATTTCTATATATTCAGCTTCCACTCTTTACTCAACTATCTATCAGTGGCGTTCTGGAGCTGGCAAAATCCTATTAGTAAATTTTCAAGGATTTTTCCTAAATAGATTAAAAAGAAAGGTCATATTCAAAACTTATTTCTCCTTTTGTATGTTCTTGAAGTGAAAACATGTACAGTAGTCCCCTTTTATTTGCGATTTCACTTTCAAAGGTTTCAGTTACTGTGATCTGAAAATGTTAAATGGAAAATTCCAGGATACATAATTAAGTTTTAAATTGTGTGCTGTCTGGAACAGTGTGACGCACTCCCACACCTTCCCCCTCTATCCTGCCCTATCCTCCCTTTGTCCAGCTTATCTACACTGTCTATGTACACACCCATCAGTCACTCAGTAGCCATCTCTGTTATCAGATGGACTGTCTTGGTGTAACGTAGTGCTTGTGTTCAAGTAATCCTTATGTTACTTAATAACGGCCCCAGAGTTCAAGAGTAGTGATTCTGGCAATTACAATGTGCCAAAGACAAACTCTAAAGTGTCTCCTTCAAGTGTAACATTAGTAAGGAAAGAAAAAAAATTGTA